TACGAAAGCGGCCGGCGCTGATGGTGTTAACTGCGATGTTATTTTTAGCTAAAATTCTACTTGACAAAAAAGACACATTTAATACAAACCCATTACCAAAAGCAAGAAGGCAGAATGTAAAGAATAAGTCTGTAAATATTTTATATTAAGCAGTTTGATGAGATTTACCTTCGTTAGCAATGAGCCCTCCATGCCCTTGCCCCGCGGCGTCGCGCGCGTTATGTCCGCAAGGAATGCACAATACATTAGTATTACAATAAATATCAAAACTAAATTAACATAAAAAGCAACAAAACAAAAAAATAAACACCAATCAATTTTTATAACCGTTATGCTTTCCTTGAGTTTCACGCGAATAGATATTATAATAATATTGTTATTGCATGCTTAACAATCCATGCAGTACAATAAGTGACAAAAATAGACTGATTCGAAACCTAACCCATTTGTAGAAATACGAACTGTTGCAAATATTTAAACCGACAGTTGCTTTATATATTTTTAGACAGAGTTAATTATTTTAATTAGATATTTGTTTCTGTTGATTTACTAATAAATAAATCTATAATAATAAGCAAGGTATAAACCTTACAGTGTAATATCAAAGTATAAAATGACATATTCACCTGCGTTGCCGTCCTTGGCCAGGATGTGCTCCGACATTGTGATCTTGGAGGAGTTGGAGGCGGTGCGGATGCTGGAGTACAGCACGCTGCACACCCAGATCACCAGCCCGATGATCGATTGATTGTCAAACGAATTCTGAAAAATGTATTTTAAATTATGAAATGCAAGAAATGGTTTAAACAAATAACATATGATAAATGGATAGTGGTATACATTTAATATTTTGAAAAATAATAAAAATAGTATGGCACAAAATGTAAATTGAATTTATTACATAAATGTGAAAAATACTACATAATAATGACTTATTGTATGAATATACACGATAAAAAAGATTATAGAAGGAATACAAGATTTGATGATGTTAAAAATAGTACTAATAGATATAAAGTAATTAACTAGATAATACATACCCAATAAGTTTCTCTCTGTGTATTCCCACGTCACGCAATATTAAATATATAATTTAATTTACAAATACACATACAGTACATACAACAGTGTACTTAAGTAAATATAACTTTACAAATGATAGTTTAGATACATTTCAATAACATTCCTTTCTCTCCCATGAATATAAAGCTGGTTGAAAACATAAATAATTCCCTGAAAACGGGTCTCCTAGTTAAAAAGCCAAGGGAATACAGACCGATAAAATTGTACTGTGCAATAAAGGAATTGTATTTCTTAAAAGAAAAAAAAATTAAACTGGTAGTTGAGGAATAACCTTCAGTGTAGAATACTTGTAAAAAAGACTCATTAAATAACTATTAAACAACTCTTAAAAGTGGCAGTAAGTTATATTACCTGATTATTCTCAGAAACAGAGGCATTACATTCAGCTGGAGAGTTGGAGAGTGCGGACCAGGTGAGGTACATGACGTAGAGGGAGACTACGGAGGACTGCAGGAGACCGGAGTGCGGCTGATACTCCTGCACTGATGGCAGGATTGATATCGCACTTGCTATCACCACAAGTATCAAGTTGAATGATATGAAGAACTTTGATAGATCACAACCGCTCGGCTGAAATAAATACATTAAATCTATACTAATATAGTAAACTGTAAACACTAACTACTCAGTGGGATGGGATGTCAACAATCAAAGCACATTTTTAAATAACTCTTTCTTTAATAAAAGTTACACTTACGACACACTTATATTTTCACACTATGAATATACATTAGGGGTAAATAAATTAGAAAAAACCTTCATGTGGGAATGGGACCATAAACTACAAACTGTACTAATGAAGCAAGGTTATTATGGTAACGGTAATTTTGACATTTGCAATTGAGAATTTGACAAATGTAAACAATAAAATAAAGTTTTTATAATTCCGTACGGTTGAAACCGCACGTGAACAGCTAGTTTTAAATAAATGTAATATTGTTAAGGAAATTTTCCTAGATAGTCTATAAAAACGAATAAGCTTCATGATAAATTAATTGTTTTAACCACAACTCAATTTTCTGATGAAAATTATATTTAAGCTTACCTTTGTGTAATATACATAGAGCAACACAATTCCAGTCAATGCAAGTGTGAAGCATGTCAGCATGGACAGCAGCAGAGCTACGTACCAGGTCCGTGACTGTGACTCCTCATAATTTGCTGAAAGTAGAAAATAATAATAGGGAAATAAAATTATATACAGTTTTGGCAGTTGTTAAAATGGGCTTTTTGTTGATTTTTTTGTTTATACATATATATGTTATTGTATTAGAAATATGATAAGAACTAAGTGTGATATAAAGAAGCAATAAATTTTATCTTTGAGACTTATACTTGAATCATATTTATACAAAGATATGTACATAAGTGCAAGTTGAATACTTGTAGACTTCATAAGTAATATCTATTATTAATCTCTTCATTTTACATATTTAAGGGAACTTGAAGGATGATTTGGCATTCAAGATCAAAGTGGACCTCTTCATTTTGACTAATCATTTACCAATAATTATTTACAATATAACAACATATCATTCTGTACTTACAGACCCATCTTTCAGCCCAAGAGTGTGCAAAGTCAATAATCAGAATGAGCTGTATGATGATAAAAAAGAAGCCTCCGATCATGCCAAATACCATCCAAGTAGAGGCAAACTGCCCTTCCGGAATAAAGAATGCTCCAATAACACCACCAATTACCAACAAATATTTAATACCCCAAAATCTGTAAAAAAAACACAATAAATTCAGATAACTATAGATAGTAGTACTAATACTAGAACTATTACTATAACTGAATAAAGGGAAATATAACTCTGTGTTTAAGATCATACCCATTCTGTATTCCAGCTCTTGGATCTTTGGATGATTTTACACCAATCATAATGAGCGCCATTAGTACAAAGAAGAGACATGTTGCAAAACAAATTCTGGAAAGAAGCATTTGAAATAAACAAAAACATACACATTTATAGTTAAATATATGATTATGAATGTATCATTACCTGTATACTGCTAAATAGCCAACAGCTTGGTCACAATCTACTTTAAAGTTGCCCGGAATAATTCCTGTTGAGTTTTCACAAAATGGTACCTGAAAAAATATGGGAATTTTACATCTTATAAAACATGTTGGATTTTAAAATTCAATTCAATTGTTATTTATAAAAGATGAGAAAAGTTCCTACCTTTTTTAACTGGTCATGTAATCCTGGTGCAAGAGTAACGCAGGCTACAATCATCATTAGTAGTAACATGACGGTGTACATGAGTCGTGAAGACGTGGAGTTGGTGCATGATGGACAAGCTGAACAACATAATGAACATGCTGCGCTGGTACAGCAACATGCCATCTAAACAAAAACATCGTTAGTACACGCTTAGTTAATATCTCGTTTTACCATCAATAATAAAAATCATATAATTAAAGAATAGATAACTTCGTTCCTGTATTTGAGGTAAATTTGTCAACCAAATTAAACTTTATAACTTCTTCTACTGAGTGACGTTTCTAAATTAGTTAAATACAGTTAATTAGATTTATTCGTATTGGTTTTACCTGAGCAGCAGAACAAAGACCTAAAACGGCTCCCATTTTTGCACCTTCACCAAATTCTACGCCAGTTGACTTTGTAGTTTATTTGTTGATAAAGTTCAGCTCACTTATAGATATGAAAAAGCTAATGACCCGATTTAATACACAAGATTGAAATTCACGCAACAAAAACTGCATTCATTTTCGATTTTTGCAAACAAACAAATTAATCATCTGCATTTCACAGATAATGTAAATTGTCATATAAGAACAGAGAAAAAATATATAGCTCTATAATCTACATCCTGGTAATGTCAATGCTGTATTGCCAACTTATTCCCAATTTTGAAAATGTTTTCTTCTACTTACCCATATTGTTAAACTTGGTACACTGAGTAGAAAAAAAAACAGTTTTTTTTTCATTGGTTCAACAAAACTTATTAGCTTAAATTTGAAAGATTTAGTTACTTTACCAAAATCTTTTAGAGAAAACATTGCTATAATATTCTGGACGTAAAGAAAATGAGAAGTTATTCAAATTAACTTTAAGAAAATTGTAGATGCATTAATAAGACCATTTTTTTTACTACAAAGTCGGTATCAATTGTAAATATATCAATCAATATATCGTCTAAGGAAGTTTGCTTTCATGTTTTGGATAGATGAACTTGACTGTTTAAGTTTCAGTATAAAGCATATTTAATCTTCCCATAACTTTTACACATTGTCTACGTAAAGGCATTCGATTATAGCGAATCAGAAGATTTGTACCGCTGTTGCTTTTTTTAAGAATTTCCATTTTCGCCCTCGCGGGTAATTGAACCCGCGTGTTGGCTATCGAGCAAGCCATTGGTTTTGTGCACCAATGGATCACTGGTTTATAAAACCTCAGGATTGCCAAAATAGTTGTCGTAGTATTCTTTTTATGTTCCAATATAGTGTAAGGTACATCTGGATCAAAAATATGGAAGTATCATTAAAACAAAAATGATAAATCTAAACTATATATTTGTAAATATATGTAGTCTATAATCTGTAATAAATTATAATGTCTAGATTTGTCCATACATTAGTTTTGTGATTTGGGAAACACTTGAACATTTCAATAAGCTTGGTACACGATCCTTTACTTTTTGCGATGAAAGATGGTGGTAAGACTTGTATTAAACAACGGAACGGACTTCAATTAAACAACGGATACTTTTATAGGATTGGGAAAATAATGCCACATTAATTTCCAATAATCGCAATATATATATTTAAGACATAAATTCATTCTAAACTTATTGAGGTATAATTCAGACGTTACAGTCTTCATAAAGTAATAAAAATAACATGTCTTTACACAAATAGTTTAATAAACTGTTTAACATTCGTTTTTAAAGAAGAGATAGTAAATAGGTTCATACGTATAGGAATATTCTTTACAGTCGAGTTCCGTAGCTTTGAAATGCAATACACCACAATCATGGCTTACAACTGTTAGAGAGCTTAGATCGTACTCCAATTCAACAACAACTGCATATATTTATGTAATGATATCGCTTTACTGCGCGTGTTAATCGTTGCATTCTTGTACAATTTAAATTCAATACTAAATACAAATTTAATTAAACCATTAACGAAAATATATCCTAATAATCAAAATTGTAACATTTGTATCATGTAAATTATTTATTGTGGAACACATCCTGGACCGTCACAAACACTTTCTACAGCTAATACGATCTGAGTTAAATATAACACAAGGTCGCATTTCATTCATTGTTAAATTATAAATAATCTAGAAGAATAATAAATAAAATTATTAATATCACAGTAGATTAACTGCCAGCTCTCTATTATATTTGTTACTCTGCTTTATTATGATTTTTATTGAATTACAAAAACGAACATTGTGATGCAAAATACATGAAAATGTTTCAATTATAAAATGTAAAAGGATGAAAAAGTAAACAATATCTGTACTTCTGCTGACAGTTTCGCTAAAAACTGCTGTGATATTGACAACATGGAATATGCCTACATTTTCGAGCAAATAATAACATTCAAACGATTTTTCTAAATATAACTAAAAGTTGCGCCACTTATATCTACTGGTAACTATTCAATCGATGAATGTATACAAAATAGAGCGGTCTAAGACTTCAGTTAGCTTTGATTTACGTTGGAGTTGTCGAGTCTATTCACCGACATACACCAGCTCAAAAATAATAGATTTAAGCACGGACAAGACAGACGTAACAATGACCTGGAAATACTTTTGGTAATTACAAAACAATAAGCCAAATAAATTAATTTAACAATGCGTCTACTTGTCCTCCGATAACAATTTTAAAACGCAAATAACATTGTCGGACCGAGACCAAATTATCCAAAATAGATAATTTTCATTTGTACATATATGTATCTAAATATATTATTATTATTGCAAATTATACCCTAATGTACCATACGGAAGAAAATGATTATGATTTCCAAAGCCTTACTTTCGGCACATTTACTTTGTTCTTACAAGTTACAAATTATAATGATAGTCACCTCAGAGCCGAATTGATAACTAAGCACTTATCATGTTAGGTGTTCGTACTTATTAACAGGAGACATATTTTCATTGAAGTTGATTGCCCACATAAATGTACATACTACGAAACGGAAATAAAAAATATCTTAAAAATAGAAGTTGTATTGATGTCTAAACAATGTACTATATAAAACAATTATGTAAGAAAATTAACAATTGTAATTAAAATAATGATGTTCTTTTTAGCATAGTTAAGAAATAAGTGTATAATTACTTTTTGTACAGAACCATAGTTTGAAACATAGATATATAACCTATAGATGCAGTTGGTATACAATTTCCACGTCTAAACGAGAGTCGATTTTCGTATTTTTTTTAAGGCGGAAAATATAAAAAAAAACATCTATGGGCTATAGATCTGTGGTTTTAAAATATATTTATGAAAAATATTATTTTATACGACAAAGATATATCAAATTAACACAATTACCGAATCCGTATATATACTATAGAGTTATGTTACAGAACGCTTACTCCATTAACTTTAAAGATAGAATGGAAAATATGTTCATAAACACTCTTATAGGGCTACAAGATGTTTAGCATAATATAAGTTATATGTATACATAAATAGTTTTAAATGTTAAGATTTTGCATGTACATAATCTATTCATATCACAATTTACATATTTACATATAGTCGTATAATTCTTAGAAATGAGTTACACTATTAAATTAAACGATAAACAAATAGGCACAGATGGATTATATACATAGCAAGAGCGTCTCCTGTAATTATTAACTCTTTTACAGTTGTACAATATCATTAATGGCCGAAAGTATGATCTTGATGAAGAGTAGCTCAGAAAGTTATGTTGCGAAATTATTGTATCAAGGTTCATCAGGCAGTAACAGTATTTCAATCCATATTTATATACTCAATAAAAAATTAATACACACTAAATAATTCTAGGATATGCTTCTAAGTACAAAAAAGACTTAACGTCTTAAAATAATTTCAATGAACGATCTAATAATAAGGCGTGTGTATTAATTACTAACTATACATAAACCTTACAATAAATAAAACAAATACACTCAATCAAGATAGCAACATATGCTCGAGTTAATATCAAAAATAAAACTTTGAAGACTTAGAGCACGACTAGCGTACAGGTTGCTCCAGCCCTTGGTTATGAATCTAGTGGAGCAGCCTGAATGCTTTAATGTGACGTCACTGTCATTTTTTAACACGTCTCAAATGTGTAAAATACACGTCATCTAGCTCATTTCTTCAACATAAGTGAGCACGTAATCTGAATCATTTTGGATATCATAATTTCGATCACTTTGCCACTTAACATCAGGTGGGATTGTCGAGCACTTGTTTTTTTTTTTCAAATAAATACTGAAATTATATTTTTAATTAAATGAGCGAATTATACATTTCTCGAAAAACTAATCGGAAGTGCATGTAATTTATTGGACAGACTTTAAATAATTATCGTTTAATAGGAAAAAATCAAATTTAATCATTCACATTAGAAAAAAGTACGAGGCCTCTTGTAAAATAACATAACTGTAACCCTATACTATAATATCCAGTTAAACCAGTGAACGTATAGAATTAATTTTCTAAATGTTTGCAAAAACTAAGAGAGAAAAATTGTAATACATTAAATATATTTTTTGCAGCGTTTATAAAAGGCAAGTACTTGGTGTACGGACAGAACAAATCCAATATTGCCTTATTATGCTTTTTGTACTGATAAGTTAAAATAATTTTACTATAGGTAATGACTTTGGTGTTGTGTATACAATATTGAGCAAAAATTTGGCTAGTTAAATTAATACGGTAATAACACTAACTACTAAGTAAAAAATAAAATTGTCTTTATCTAAAATAATAAAAATAGAATCTTATTTGAAATATTAAAAAGATTTATAAAGAAAAGATACGATAATAAATCTAATAGCTTCATTTATAAAATGAGATCGGTATTAAACAAAAACCAAGCATGGCAATGTATCCGAAAATTGGTAAAAAAATGTTTATTTTCAACCATAGACAAACATAAGATCAGTTTACCGGAGTTAAAAATATCTATTTAAAACTAAGCCACGAAAAACGCGGAGATTGGTATCATTAACATTTTTCGGAGATAATTATATTTATGTATTTCTCAGTTATTGAAACAATGACTGTATTTTCCAAACTAAAACAAAATCATATTTGATTAATTAATTATTTTTACCTTTTATTGTTTTATAAAAAATAGCCAAAAATATAATAATTTTAAATATAAGAATCATTCGATTTATAATTATTCGAAATAAGATATGATTAAAGGCAAAATAGAGTAGAAATTTACATGATCCGTCATGAGATATCGTTACGTTCTCGTATCGGCCTCTCTTGAAAAACGTTACCTTTGTAATTGTATGTACTTAAAATTAATAAATACTACATTATGACTTGAACTTAAAATATCATTAACAACTATCACACATTACATACAATCTAAACCCCTTTATATTCTAGATCCTTATGATATGGCAGTTGTTAAATTGCTAGCTGGGTTGTTATAAAACATTTAAAAGTTCAAGCTATTTGACGATGGCGTTTAGCGTTGAAATTCGTTGATATAAACAAAATTATACATAAATTTGCTAAAAGTTACAACATTATGATGTTTTATCACAACCATTATTGCAATGTAAATAAACTCAATGTATTTGGTAGCTACTCGCAGGTACGTTGCATAACATATAAAATAACGTCTACTACATTTGGAGGCCGCGTGGAAATTATTTTACTTTATAAGTACCGTTTGATTTTTATTTTTTTTTACAATGATTTGGCAAGAAAATAAAATTTTGCTACTTATTTTTATATTTTGTCTAATTTTCTTTTGGTTGTTATTTTTTTAATGTTGCATATAAGTTAATTTCTCGCTATGAACATTACCATCTCTGTGGCATTGCGCCGAGCTGCGCTTATTTTAATCAGATCTAGCATATTTTATATCAGTGAGATCTACATTTCACAGCAGTGAGTGATAATGTGAGGAGGTATTTACGAGTACTTTATGTTTCCTAATATTTCATTTCTCCAATAGCTGCAAAACACTTACATGACATTTTAAAAATTGAATCTTTACGGTTGTTTCTTGGAAATTACTTATATTATGATTTATGGCTATGTGTATAGATGAATGCACGTGTATAAATAGAAAAATATAGGCACGTCGATATAAATATTGTATTTGTATGTGCGTGAACATTGTTTACAGAGCACCGAGTATAGATATAAAGACGCAACGACATATGTCTGGGGCGATTTATCATTCTTGGATCAGTTTTTTAGATTGGCACATTCCGATTTACGTGTACCTTTAAGGCCGTATGTAAAAACTTCTAGTACAAAGACGTAAAAATGAACAGGAACCGAGATGAATATTAAAACGAAGATGGAACACAGAGTCCGCTGGAACAAAAAAATCGATTCCATGCCAGGTTCATATCAAAATGTGGTGCGCCTTGGTTCCTGTTCGCTTTCGCGACAGCGTAGTAGAGAGACAGACTAAGTGATCGGAGACGAATGCCTATTATTACGATTACCTATAAACACAAAATGTTATGTATATTACAACGCCGATGCTTGGTAACTACGATTGACAAGATACGCCGCACTTGTCAGCGCCTAAACTACCACTTACAACTAAACAGGACTAAAACTCCTTATATATTATTATATACTCTATATTAAAATGTATCTCGACCTCGTATAAAACAATTTCGATATTAATGATCACATTATATAACAATAATATTTTAACAAAATTCTTATATTTACACATCCAAACATTGCTTTCATTTCAAAATACATGTATAATATATAACTTTGATTATAAATATGTATGTACACAATATACTTTATACTTAACGAATAATATTGCAGCTCGGAGGCGCAGCACTCGCTCGCTGGATTTGTTTCCGCTCTCCTCCTTACACCTCGGTATCACATACTAACGTCTTAAGGTATTTGGAAACCTAATGATATTCGAGAGCCAAAGCTGCAAGGTTTTTATATTCGTGACACGGTTTTATTTATGTCCTACGAGAGACACGTGTCACGATCACATTTAATAATCTGTTACTGGATACCGTTTGCTTGTCTCTGTACCAGTGCATCAAAGATAGAGTTCGTTTGTTGCACGTACGTATCAAATTCAATAACATCCGTATAGTTCCGTCTTGGGCGCTGTTTGCTTCGTCGTTAAGAACGTTTCCAATCCGTCGGTGCTTGTGGTCAACAAATATAGCGCATTTGACAGATGGCGATGGCGTCGCTACCAAAATGCGCGTCGTGAGCGAAGTTGAGTATTCTCTCCTTGTTCATAAAGGACCTTCCTTGTATACAGTACAGATATGTTCATAAAAATTTAAGTCTAAACTTTGAAGTCTTTTAGTCGAATTTGAGATACTTACTGGCTAAGTTCAATTTTCATCGTGTTAAATACACAATAAACTTCATTATTATCTAATAATTCAGTCAGTACATTATGTAACATGAAGTGATAAAATATCACTGTATTGCAACCGACTGGACGAGATACATCCAATTGAACGCTCGGATTATCAACAGTGTGAAAACATTGTTCATCATCAAATATGGTTTCAGAATGCACTCGACGCGACCGCACACCCCATCAAGTGGACGGAATTCTATTATTACTCTCATAATAACGACATTCAATACTTCTCTTCTATCAATATTAAGCCTCATTGTTACGTTTTGTTTTAAAGAAAAATATTGCATTGCTTTTCCTTACTAAGGCACCTAATATTAGTAAAAATAAGTTCTGGTAACAGTTCATTTAAATATCCTATTGCATATAAAATTAATTATCTTTGCATTCTATTGCCTATATCAATATATGAATAGTTTCTGGTTGTGTTAATGTCCGTCACTTCATATATTTTCTTCATCATGTGTGAAAATATTTGCATTGAAATCTGTTGATGCTAATAATAGAAATTCATATAATAGAAATTATGTGTTGGTATCAAAAATATAGTTTTAAGAGTCTAGAGTACAGTACAGTTATGTGTTTTTCTTAGCTCTGATATTGTTTGCTCGAATAATGTATCTGTGTTAGATATCGATTATAATGTAACATTTCCATTTTCTTCATTCGGACAAATTGATGCAAACAAATTTAATATAGCGCATCCAAAGAAAACAATAGTTTTCACACTGTTTGGTCAGTCAGAACTTAAGTCTATTAGCTTACATCTAATGTTCACAGTCTACAGTCGATGTCGCCGGAGTTCGGCATCTCGAGTAAAGCAACTGTGACCACTTCTACAAAAATACGTGGGCAATGTCCATAATGCAGTCAAATACGAGTCACATCGAAAGAGAAAAAAATATGTCTCCCTTATTATTAATAAACAATATATAGTATATACTCCGTATAACCTTACATGTAATAAAACATTTTAATAATATCTTCATTTAAGCTTAATTACGACACAAACACTCACGAAATCGTTTACGCGGTTCATGTTAACAGTTCGAGAACAACAAACTTCTCAAATGTCATTGGTGATGCGAGAGGGCGCGCGTGTGCGTGCGGATGGCGCGCGCGTTATTCATTGAAACGCGTACACGCCTTTTTCCACTTGCACTGCGTGCACCAGAGGTCGCGCTGGTCCATACCATACACCTTTCGGCACTTCTTGTTGTCGGAGCGCGGCCGCCGGCCCGGGCTGCCGGGCGAGCCGGTCATGCCCGATAGTCTCATGTGCTTCTGTAATATTGAACCTCTATTAGTACAGCCTCAAAGCGGGTATGAAAATCAAAATATCAAAAGCAATACAAACATACCGGTGAATGTGATGATGACCATGTATGGCTTACTGGAATACTTATAGGCCTTGCGGAGCCACTGTGCATCGTTGAAAGAAGTCCTTGCCTAGAACGTATTCATTGGTTAGAATTGCAAGGAATCATTGTATGTCAATGTAACATATCACAGTGATGTAGAGTAGAGGTGTGTACCTGTAGGAACCGACGAGCTGGCGCTGGTAGTCGGGGTCCTCGTGCGGCGGGCGGCACATGTCGCGGTGGGACAGCGTGGGCGGCGGCGGCGGCGCCAACACCTCGCGCTCCGTGTAGTAGAACTCCTCTTCGTGGTCGCTCTCGCCCTGTTTCTTTGGCCTGAAACAAGAGTCATTGAAATGATTTCCTTTTATTAATCCAATAACCTTAACATAGAGATGCTGTTATTACATTGAAATAATTTAGACTTTAATGTATGTATTTTTTAAGATTTCCATATGGTATATGTATGTATCAGAAACATTCTCCTTGTTCTCTAATTATAGGAAAGTCTTATTAAATAATAAGTCACTCGTCTCTGGCCGATGAAAATAATTATATTAAAGTGTAAAGATCCAACAGCGACCAGTGAGAGTGTTATATAAGTATTGGTCTGGTGGCGGAGGGCGGGGGACGGGGGTCGGGTGGCGGGTCGCAGCGACCTTGTGCGTTGCGACCGCGGCACTCGTGCAAAGTGGAGCTGCGAACCTTGGCGCGAAGCCTTGCTTCCGGGTCACTAAGGGCTGACCTTCGCTACTTCGCTAACATCGCTTAATTGTTTTCCACTTTGACATCTAAAAAGTTGGAAAAAAATGATATAAAAGCGAAATTAAGCCTTTACTTTTTTATTTCGAGAAGAAACGTTGAGATACTATTGTTACTACGTGGTAAAAAAACAATGCATAATTAAAATTGTTGCAACGCACCCCAAATGCGTGTTCCTGATGTGCGCCTCTATTGCTGAACAACTATTGGTGGTGTGCCCGCAGCCTCGCCAGGTGCATTCGAACACGACACTGTTTATCTGGAACAAAACAAATAAAAAAATATAAGTCACACGACATTAAAGTCACTATTCTTTATTTTCATATTATAGGTATTTGAGCGATAATACAATGACCATAAAAAAAATTATTAGACGTGACTATGCTACGGTTTTGCATCGATATTGTTTGTAATAACATTTTTGTTACTAGGTAAGTATGTGTTAAAGTTTTTATTCTAACTTGCAGTTGTTTTATAGCAATCTAAATATCGGACAAGACGATAAAAAATTATCCCTTGTACGTTAGTAAACATGAGTTATACAGTAAAGTATGTGTAAGTTAGTGTCGTTTCTATGGTAATTAACCATAAATAACCATTAAATACGCGTACAACACGTGTGTGAATATACTTTAACATTAAATTAATGACATTAAGGCATAAAATTAATACTGAAATAGGTAATGTCAGCGATGGCGGAAGCAGCTCTAGGTCGCGGCCTTGGCGCGGTGTTGCCGCTGTAACGCGCCCTCGGCTAGCGCTCGTGTGCACCGTGCAGTGTTGCCAGTTGCCACGCCCGCGCGTATGTGTGCATTGCACATATTATATTTATAGTCCGACAAACTTATCATGCCCCGTGAGACGTAGTGCTGTCGCGCTTACTTCTATTAGACTCAAGACAACGAACGATCTTGTGGTACTTTTTGACATGGCAAGTCACACCCACCGGGTCAGATAAGTTGGATGGATTGTATGTAATCCGCCACAATTATCACATCTTACGTTATCTCGTTATAAAATACATCAAACTTCGAGATACTTCTAAGTAAATTATATTTGAAATATAATCCATGCCAATGCGTTTTATGTCCCGATAATTTGTATTACTTCTTAAACCGATTTTGACACTCTTTTATTAGATTCTAAAAAGCAAACAATTTAAGAAATATAGGCACTATTCATTTCACAGTACAAGAACAGTAAGTATATCGAATGATACTCCCGAGCTATAATAAGTTTGATAAATTGTTATACAGTCGGATATTTACTAAGTGCTGGTAGGTAAAGTGGGTGATAGATAAAATAGGGCAGATACGTCACCGCTGTGTCAGGGACGCGAATTGGGTTGCGCGCGCGGAAGGCAATCGTTCCCCGCTTGGAAACTGCGGCTAAATCAAGTGCATTTTGTAACTAGGTCAGGTCGCGGCGGGCGGGAAACGGGGGCGGGCCGAGGCTAGAGGGTTGTATAAGGGGGAAGCATCTAGGTCGCAGCACCACGGCCAAGGGTGGTCGGCTAAGGTTGCACTATTGCTATATCTTAGTCGAGGACGGGCTATTGTTGTCGTCATGGACATCGTCGAGTTTTAATTAATAAACTGCCTTAACTTAAACTATATTGCAGACAGAAAATTAATTGCTCTACATAAATCTTTTGAATAGAAATACATAACGTTATATCAAATCTAAGTAAATTCATGCTTATTTCGTAATAAGCACATTTTAAGAAGTATTACGTAATTTGATTGTAATAGAGATGCAGTCTTATGCATTAATTCGAGCAACATAAATACCTACTGCTTTGTTACGAAGCTGATTTCCTAGCGCTTCTCCGCTCGGGTCTATTATAACCTGTTGCAGCTGTGTGCTGTATGTACACGTTACACGTGCCGGCACGCTTGCATGTGTGGGTGGCACTGAATAGACGTGATAATACTGCAGTCGCCTCTGCGCATTCAATGACAATTTACCGTATGATGCAGTTGGCAAGTGCTAAAAAACATTGCTATTTACATACATTAGTCGCATGCGCAGTCCTAGAGATTAGAATCTGACTCTACCATTTATAAATTGCATTTATATCTTTAGTTGCAAAGTCGAGTAAAGGACATACAGGAAATGTTGTTAATTAGGCGTATCCAAGTTGCTTACTCTGGGGCTTTTTCTATCGGGGAAATAAAAAAAATTATATCATTTAATAAAAAGGAATTAATCAAATAATTTCACTTATAAAAAGGTTATGATGTCTGTTATAGATTCACACCGTATGATATCTCTAGTCCTCGAGTACAATTTGATGCACATGTAGTACAGTGATATATATTTACCTTTTTTCTTTGTTGTTATGGCTTAAATATATGTGATTCTAGATTGAAGTAATAATAAGCCATAATGATTATAGTCTCAGATGCACTATTGCACCTATTAGTAACATTTGTTATTATTCAGATAACACAAATCACTAATCGGTGCTGTAAACGGGATATTCCATCACTTCATAGCCATCGTAATAACAAAAAAACTGTTAGATTAAAGACATACGTATTTCAATGGAATAAGGTTCCCATTCGAATGATGTTGGTTTAAGTAACGCAAACCGGCATATAAAATGCCGGTTTGTTATTATGCCGTCTCGCTCGCCGGCGTAGGACCGAGATGACTTATTGATTTGTTTTCATCGCATCTCTTTTCCGCATATAAGAACATATATGTTTGTTTCGTCCACGTGACCTTCTCTTGTTTACTTCACGTTATGCTGGTAGTTGGGATGTTTTGATGTCATCTCGCTCTAGCAGAGGTCCCAAGAGCCGACGAGAACTTGTTGCGTAGTTTGCGGGAAGTTGAACATTGTTTTAAAATATACAATTTAATGTTAGTGGGACAACTCTGATTACTTTAAAGATAAATAATAACGCAATTAAAATAAGTGGAAGGAGCAAAATCATTAAAAAAAAAACTGTACTGACTTATCCAAACAAACCGTTTGGTTTATACAGTTGTTGAAAAATAATGTTATTTTTTTTTTAAATTTTAACTATCCAATTTTAAAAGGTATCGTATAAATCACGTGGAGCACACGGGCGGCGGCCCCTCTAAACACACTTTGTCAACGAGCCGCGATGTTTACAAACAAACCACTCTGTGCACGAATTCTTCAATAATATAACAAACCTAACAAAGAACATTCCATTTCCGTGAAAACAAACGGTATCGTAGTTACGTCTAAATAAAATACAAATTAAACAATACACTGTTTCGCTTCACTAAATACATTCACATCGACAGGATAGTTTTTGAATCTAAATTAATTCGTCCATTGTCCGTTACAACCTTATATTAAAAGTCTAACGCTGTCAGAATAATCATTATAAGGAACTAGGAACACTAGAAAAATATCTACTTTAGTATTCTATCAATAGTAAAGTACATATCAATATCAGTGATACATATCGAATACCAACTGATTACAATATTGAAGATAGACAAAAATACGTTGAACTAAATCCTCCCCTATTCTTTGCGGTTCGTACACCCTCGCCAGCTTGCCACTCGACGTTCCAAACAACCTGCGCCGTTACATACATATACAACTGGCACATTTGTGTATGTGTGTATGAAAAATGCCCGACGGCAAGAAACTTTCGATGCGTTCGTTCGCCTCATCCTGTTCTCAGAAATTACCTACCATATACTATTGTATGATGCGATCGGATCTTTCATAAAAACGGTTCTGTATGGTCAAACATTGATTCATGATTAAATGGTATAACATAAGTTAACTTTTTATACAACTAGTCCCATGTATAATATAAACGCCCCAAACAAACTAACATATAGGTATAGCACTTAGTGTCGTCAAGAGTGTACAACGAAGTCCCTAAACAGCTACGTCTTAGTCTAATAATAATAAAAAATATTTTGACTAATTATTTAAGTTTTACTTTGTCAGCTTTCCGGATTAACTAATAAGCATTATTGTACGCGTGTCGCGTGTAGGTAAAACTTATTTATTGTTTTGAGTTCATTTTACGGTGAAAGTATTTTGTTTATATTGAAAGTAATATTGCACTTTCCTTGTTCGTGAAACACAACTCGCAACTCGCAACGTGGCTCACGCAAGTGTTCAGACGGTCTGCTCGCATTATGTCCACGGCAACTTAAATGTTAAACTTGATGTTGTTGTTGCTAAATCTTAATAATTCAACCAAAAATAATGTTTTGCCCGCATTAACTACTTCTTGTAGAGCCTGTATTCTAACCTATGTATTAAAAACATAGTTTAAAAGGTAACAAACAAATAAAGACAAACATTTCTTTGTGTAATTCGCCAAAAGCAGCTAAATACAACTGTCCTCTAATTCTAATTATTCGTAGCGTTTGTCTCTGGAATGGTGAATCATACGAGATTGTATCGTTAACATTTCAAATATGCGCGTCATCCAAATAGTGAGAGAGGACATTTTAGTGGAACAAAAGAGTGATGTAAGGTGAGTCAGGCAGGACAGCGCAGGGACGCCGGCGGCCGGCGGTCGGCGGTCGTCGCATCGGTCGGGCCGGTTAAGGTGGCAGCATTAATGATGAATCAGTGGCGGTGGCGCGGGCGCAGGCGGGCGCGGGCCGGGCGCAGGCCGGTCGCCGATCGCAGCGAACCCCTCCTCCAACCCCGCTCGGTCACCGACCTCGACTGGTTCTGACTTGTTACAATTTCACTTTTTCTTCAAATCGACGTATATAACTCGACCTCTCTTAACCCACGAGACGTTTTGTTTCTCTTATATCGACAACAATCGTCTTCGATTCGATTAAAACTTAAGCGGATTAAAGGAAACGATACTTTATTTCAGTACTGAGCCATTACGACACAGTAGCGAGTCGGCGAATAAAGGTATCGTTGACGGCTAATAACATTATTAGCACAGTCCCGTTGCGCGGCGCGGTGGTGATCGCATTTGGCGCACATTCAAAACGACCGAAATTTATTGAGCGCATTGTGTCCGAAGAATTCGGTGTGTAAAGATTTGACAACGCATAAAGTTTATTTTACTTGTAAAATAGGGAGTTTGTTGAACCCGCGGGAGCACTCATTATGGCGTCTGATGAACTCACCGCCGCCGACCGCGCCACCGCCGCCGGCATTGTTCCCGCTACCGATATTCCCCACTGCTTTTATATACATTTTTACATTATAAGGGATGGTGGATTTTTCGTATTTAAGATTATTCCTACATAACAGGTTGTTTTCTTTTCGTAAGAAGTAACAAC